TTGTACTCAGGAAGGTGAGTCACGGGGCTGCGGCGGGGTGGGGAGTTTTGCGTGGGCGGAACCGTCGAATCCAAAGAAGCTAGAAGGAGCTCGTCACCGCGTGTGTCATTCTCAAACTCCTCCATCGTTCCCTTTAACTAGGTAACAAGAGTAAGGACAGTGCATGACTAGGTAATTCGATAAAAGTTCAAATAAAGTTGATAGCAAAACGGATGCAATTGGATCTGGGGAGAGAAAGTCCCCAGGTCGCAGCTATAGCATAGAACTGCTGTCTCTGCAAAAATAGAATTTAAAAACACGATTTTGCGAATATACTGGTAATATTTGCGCGAAATCCCTGTAAATTTAGGCAGATGGAAAATTTAACAGCCGATTTTTGGTAGAGATCGCTTATATGTCTTCGCCCCTCTCATACAAGCCACGCTAACAGAAATCGCCCTTAATACACGTGACTTTGCACTAAATTTCAGGAAAATGAGACTTATGATAAGGATTAAGGTAGGGTTCGCGTTAGGGATACGACATGGGAACATTTAACGTTCGTTGGATTTAATGCATGGCCATAGTATTACGGGGTGAGGAGAAAGCGGGAACATTAAAGTGATGCTGGAACATTTTTTTAATTTAAGTGGAGTGTCTTTGGTCAGAAAATGGTATGGATTTGATAAAGAGCCATCAAAGTTTGCAGGGAATTATGCGTACATCTTCTATCACCAATCTTCTACGTGGTTAAATGTAACAATGAGTCCATCAGACGCTGTCAGCAGACAAGCGGGACGTCCGTGTAGAAGGAAGTTGCGGAAACTTTGCTTTGGGTAGCTGTTTCTAACGAAGATAATTAGTATTCCCAAGAGTAGTCTGGCGGGGTGCAAAAATAATAAGACCGTGAATGTTGCACGCGAGATATCATAGAAAAGAAAGCCAATAGGCGCAGAAACTAGATAGGCTTATATCTGATAGATAGACAGACGGGGGCTGGAGTGATTAATTATATTCAGCTTGCCAATTCTGATCAATACAGGGTTGGCCCGGTGGCGAATTCTAGGGTTAACAGTAAGCATGGTTTTTGGGCAGCTGCGCCGAGCACTTTGTGCCCGGCACGTTGGAGTTGAAAGTGGGAATAAAGCAACTGTTTTCAAACAGAATTATCGGAAGAAAATTTCGTGCACGACCTTTCGTATTTAAACGATGAACCAAAGCGTCCACAGATGTGTTCGTGTATTTTTCAGATACAATAAATAAATCAGGAGTCTCAAACTGCAAACTCAACAAAGGACTCTTGGTGATAGAAAAACAGAAAGCAGTGGACGGTTTTGCCCTTTGAGCGGCAACCCTCTTCTGAAAATATATTACCCGACCTATCAATACTGCATTCAGATTTATATGTAAAACAAATTTTTCCCAGGAGCAAATTTGAAGATGGCAAAAACGGCAGCATTTATTGGATCCATAAAATTTCGAGAGTGCTCTTCAGCTGCTACCTCTTATTGCTTAAGTTGAGTAACGAATGAGGAAATACAAAATTCAATTCGTACAGAATTCCGTTTTGTATTTTCTTATTCGTTACTCAAATTAAGCAATGAGAGGTAGCAGCTGAAGATCACTCTCGAAATTTTATGGAGCCAATAAACTCTGCTGTTTTTGCAATCTTCAAATTCAGATTTATGTCTGATACGCATGATTGCAGTATGAATATAAAACGTTGGGCAAAAAGGGGTGATTCAGCGATTCCATTTTTCCCAGAGTCAAAACTTTGGTAGTCACTCTGCTGACGAAAAGATACAATTCTCAAATAAATACAAAGAGGACCGAATTCTGAATTCATTTAAAGTCGCGATCTTCGCACAAGGGTTGAGCAATTTTGTTCTTAGTTAAACAACCCCACTAGATGTAGCTCAACAGACATTTGTGGTAGACACACTGTGATGGACAAAAGAAAAGGCAGGCGGTTACAATACACGTCAAAAGCATAACTGGCTGGCCAGCAGCTGAGTGTCCAATCTTTCTGTGGCGGTGGACTGCCCCTACAATGGGTAGATGCATTGGTCCAAAATGAGAATCAAAGTAGCACACGACAGACATAATTAGGGCCCAGAAGAAGAATATTCGATTGCTGTACCAAAACGTTTATTGGCTTGACGCTTCGGCCTCTCACTTGTGTCACAAGAGCCCCAACCCAATTGGCGGCGCCTCCTTTGCTGATTGGTTGCAAGGGCACATAGCGCAGAAGGGACAAAGACGCATGCACACTGGGGACTACAATTTTCAAGGACAGATACTGAGCCCCGCTTGCCTGTTCAGAACGTTTGCTGTGAGTGCTTGCAGAGTTCTGTGCGTAAACTCTATGCGTCAGTAAAGACTTGTCAATTTAACTTCTGAGTTGAAAACCTTCAAATAATGGATCATCGTAGCTTGGCCGGATTGTGGCGGCACGTCTGGGCGCAGACTCACGCTGCGCCAGGCATTTGCGCCCCACCCCATCTCCGGTCTATTTTATTCTGTCTTGGAGCCGGGCCCGAATGGGTTAGGGGGGAAGATTGCGGTAGATACATCGCAAGTACACCATCAAAATAGAATAATTCACGCGTAAAGCACCGTCCCTGCGCCCACCCGGCTGTGAGGCACACGGTGGACGACGTCAGAATCGACGATCGAACCGTCAGAAGTGGTCGCGATGGTGGAGGAGTGTAAAATCGCTCCCGATCCGAGTAAAGATCCATTGACACGCCAAGACTGGCAATGTTCCAGTGCCAATAAGCAAGTCATAATGCGTAAACGAATTACAGTGCAGGTGAAATCGACATACTCAGAGGCAAAAAGCGTTTTTTACAGCAAATAGTCCCGGATTAAGAACAGCTAACGATGGCATGCCAGCTATTAATTACAGTAGAGTTCACTCGTTTTGGAGGCAACAACAACCTGCTCGGACTTCTAGATGCGAGATTAGACACTGTCTTACAAGAAAAGTGAAATTTGGTAGTCGCTGATGTCTGCTTATACGTTCTCGAAACTACAACAAAAATGATAGCTGGAGAGTAAGGTATAAAAACGGCAAGTTTAAAGAAGCCTAAACGAGGTAATTGGTTGATATTAAAGAGCCAGTCCATGATGCAAGTGAAAATGCGAGTTCACGGAGACAGTCGGGGAGAAGACGCGACTGCTGGAACAAGAAATCGGGACTCGTAGCCTACACAGTCTTGCAACGGTTGAAACCGCTGTACTCCAAACATCATAGACCTCCATTTTGGGTTCGGCATGTGGAAGTTGCTTTCGTCAAAATTGAAAGGGTTCAAGTGCTAATTTTCAAAAACATCTCAACATCAACCGGATATGCAAAGTACGATAGAGCTGGC